AACTGAGTCCCCATATTCCTGTCATGTAGAAAAAGATGTAACTGTTAAAAAAATAAAAAAATGCAGACTGCTAATCATATGTACAACACAACCCAACTCAATTTTAACTTAGCAGATTGACAAACAATTTTAACAAGAGAAGGAAGTGCGCTGCATGGGGTTAAAATCTCTTCATGGATATGAATGCATGATGCATAACCAATGTTTGGGGTAACATGTTCTTCAACTACTCGACAAAAAGTAGAGCAATTTCAAGCAGCCACTTGGGAAATTCAATCCAAATGACATACATAAGAGATTGCACGTGGATGTTTCAGAATGCTAGTTGACGGACTAATTAACTGCCATCATTCGCAATTGGCCGTGGAAATGTATTTGGAGAAACAAGGCCCCATTGAAAGTAAAGTGTTTCACATGGTTGGTGGCTCACGAACAGTGCCTACCTCAAGATAACCTTCGGAAAAGAGGAAGGATTATTTGTAGCAGATGTGCACTGTGTGAGAGGCACAATGAGGATGCCAATCATCTTTTTATTCATTGTGCATTCACTAGACAGATCTGGGATTTTGTTCTGAACAACATCAGGGTTAACTGGAAAATGCCAAGGACGACAAGAGAACTGCTCCAGTGTTGGTACTCAAGAAGGTTTGGTAAGACAAAGATGATAAACATGAAAAATCTCCCTTCGGCAGCATGGTGGACCCTTTGGAAGGAAATGAATGCAAGCATTTTTGAAAGCAAATCAGAATATGTAGTTAGTACTAAGTACAAATGTTTATCCCAACTGTTTTTTTTTGGGTGTAACATGGCAATTGCAAATGATATAGAGGCCATGATAGATTTTTTGAGCTCACTACACAATATGAAATGGAGCGACCCCTTGTAAATTCCCCACGCACCTTCTGGTTGCTGGACTTTTAATACAATACCTTTTTAACGATAAAAAATGTCCAAGTAATTTTTCTAAGTATCAATAAATTCGTGAGGGTGAGTAGCACAAGGCTCACGGCTCGATGGATAATAGGCCCACTCCTCTAACCTTCTCCATTTAAATACCCAAGCTTTTGTTTAAGAGAAGTTCCTGATACTAAATAAACTTTTGAAAACAAAAAAGAAGATTCAATACAAACAAACACAAATTTTAGACTGACTAATAAACATCAGCAACCACCTTGAGTATCACAGTGAAACCGCTAAGGCCTAAGATATAGGAACATATACGAGAAAGTCCAACTAAACTTGATACAAATAAAGTTAAACTTAAGTATATTGAATACATCAGTATACCTCCAACTTATCTAGCAAGTCATGGATGGTGGCATTTGCCAGTCTATGATACTCATCTTCCTGCAGCAGAGACCTGTAAATTTACAAATTTAGTATGACGATACGACACATTTTCCTCAAAAATATTCCAACTATGGAAGGACGTTCTAAGAATTACAAACAGAAAACAATCTCCATTGTAGATTTTACAGAGAGAGCAACACACACACAGAGGAGAGAGAGAGAGAGAGAGAGAGGGGGGGGGGGGGAGGGGGACTAAGACAACGTTAGTTTCTATGTGAGAATCAACGGTACTGTACATAAGACACAAAAATCTAAGTATCAAGCATTGACTATTATGCAGTAAGATGGGAGCTTTAGCAATAAATTACAAATCCATGGGACAATAGCGCAAATGTTTTATGCTGCTCTTCCTTTTAACACGTAGAGAAAAGGTGTACCATTTCAATCTTCCCAAATTTACTTTTCTTTTGTCAAGCTTATCTTTACTTGTCTAGAAATGCAGTATTAGCTTTTCAGACAATATAGTTTCCCGCATATAAGATCTATAGGAGCCAGGCAAAACAGTTTCAGACTTATGTGCAGTTATTTGAAGCTTCTAATGACTTCTTCTACTTTTCATCATATTTTTGTTTTACATCCACCTTAGCTTACTTTTACCTCACATTACATCAACCATGCAACACACCCTCAGTCAAAACAAACCAAAATAGATATTCCTTTATCACGGGAAAGTGTAAATCAAACACTAAACTTCATCTATTACTCTAGTGCTGGACCACGGCTTCAAAAATCAGTATATTGACCTGCAGAATTCTTCTAGACTAATTGTATTACCTACATTCTATCCTCACTTACATTGGAAGTCCTAACACATTGGAAAATCAAAGATTCTCTGAGATACAGTATAAAATGAGGACATTAAGCTGCTTAATCAAACTAAAAAATTTCATCTTTCAACATTTATGTGTTTACACCCTTTACAGTGATGCTTAACAATTACACAAAGGAGGCGAAGAGGGGAAATTAGAAGGACACATGTTTGGTCTGATGTGAAATTTTTCCTCAATGAATTTATGTTCCACGAAAATACTAAAAGTAATTATGCCACTTACCACAGAAATCATTTTCATTTACAAAGCTCCTTACTCTTATTCAATCTCACTTACTTCAAACAATGGTAAGACATGGAGGTTGAAGATTAGGATAGGAAGATAGTAGGTAGCTAAGTGTTGTCACATTTTTGTGTGGGAGAGGCAGGAGTCTAGCCCCCTTCTCCTCTTCTCCTTTTTTGAAATATTTTGTAGTTATCGCATAGTTTCTTATTCTTCAATGTACTACTATATGTTGTTGTATTTGCTTTGTATCTTGCCACTTGATTGTCTTATTCCCTTACAAACCTGCATTGGGTACATTTCTATTGAGTCAAGGGTACACCAGAAACAGTCTCTATACCTTCTCTACTTCACAAAGGTAGGGGATAAGTCTGCCTACATCCTGCACTCCCCAGACCTCACTTATGGGATTACAATGAGTTTGTTCTTGTTGTTTAGACATTGGTTATTGACCTTTACTACCCAAAATATCACCAAAAACTTTACCCTCACACTCTATCCTACACCTTGCACACTTACCATATATGATGCACCTCTCCACCAAAACACCGGACAGACCAGATGCATCTGTCCCTATTTCTACTTCTAACAATCCTCTAACCGTACACTCAATACTACTCTCCAATCTAATATTCAGGTCTACTAACATCCTAAGGCATGCCCTATTTCGCAACAGAAAAACAACTAAGATCGAACTAGTTTGAAGCAAATTGAAAATGAAGAAATTCTAGGTACAGGATACTCAAATCTCCGTTCTCCAATTTTTCAAGCAAATTCTATAATCATTACAAATAAAAGCAAGTAATCGGAACTAAAATTTGTTAACCTACCGGTAATCAATAGCAGCAGGACCTTCAGAAGCATCTTGGAGAGGTGACGAGCGGGAACAATAGCTTCTAGAAACTTTTGAGAGTAACGATTTGGATATAGTACCCGAAGATTCTAGAAGATATTTATGCGTAGAAGAAGAAAGAAATGATCTTTGTATTAATGAAGAGGAATTAGGTTTGAGAGCTCTGCATAGCGATTTCCGAAGCAGAAGCAGTTTCCGTGAACAAGAAGACGCCATTTTTGCTCTTTAGACCAGTTTCCAGTTCCTTCGCCATTCTAGTTACTTTACACAAGCTGCCAACAGGCCCAAACTTATTCTTTAAGGTTTAAGCCCATCATTTTATATACTTTTTTGGGCCTTACACACTTTGTTTCGATGATCGTTAGATATTGTTTCTTAAAGTAGCATATTGTTGTTGTATTATATTATAGTAAAAATTAGGCAAATGACATAGTATAAGAAAGAAATTACTTCATTTCCCTACTCTTTCATTAATTACCAAAAATCCCTTTTTTTAGTGTTTTTCGGATACATAATATAGCAGTGTGGATACTTAATATAGCAGCGCGGATACTTTAATTAATAACGGGCGGATACTTAAATTATTAAGTTAGCAACACGGATACTTAATTAACGGACGGATGCATAATATAGCAGCGCAAATACTTTAATTAATAACATGCGGATACTTAAATTATTAAGTTGTTAGCAGCACGGATACTTAATTAACGGGCAGATGCATAATATAGCAGCACATATACTTTAATTAATAATGGGCGGATACTTAAACTAATAAAGTATCCGGTTAAGTTGAATTGGGGAAAAATAAGGGATTTTTGTATTTTAGTAAAAGAGTAGGGAAATATTGAGAATAGATAAAAAAGTGTTGTGTATTTAAGTAATTTTTCCTATATTATATTGTACTTTTTAAATAAATATAATGTTTGGATGTATTGTATCGTTTTTCTTTGTTATATAATTTCACATATTCATAGTTTGAACAATAAACCTACAAGAATTTATAGGATACGGGGTGAAGCTACTATGAAAAGGTGGAAACAAGAAATAGGTTTTTTCGTCATTACCCAACGATAAATTTAAATGATGTAATATAATAAAATTTAAGTAACAATCAAAACAAACATCGTATTTAAACTAATAATACAATACAACATATAATAACCATTCAAACAAGGTGTCAATGTTCGTCAGGAAAATTCTTACTTATTTACTAATAATATAATAGTATATAATATTTTATTATTTACCAACTTTCCCAAAAAAATTATTCCCTTTATTAGCCTAATCAAATAGTATATATATATTTGACATTTGTTTAACCCAAAAAGAAAAATGTAGATATAGGTTCATGATCATTTTGTCCTTACTTATGTCTTAAGAGATAAAAAACAAAGTACATTTAACATTTTCATTATTTATGTGTTATTACCTTATAATTGAAATATTTATAGACTTTGATAACAATTACTATAAAAAAAATAAAGTGTTTTTTTTTTATCTTGAACACGACAGATAATTTAAGAGAAAAAATAGGGAGTAAGAATTGGTTTCCAAACTAAATCTCATTTTTCATCGGTCAAAGCAACCCCAACAACATAACTGAAAACTCGCAAAAATAGTTTCTTTAATAAAAAAGAGCAAATATAATATATGGTAGGTAACAAACTAGATAATTAATTAGTTGATGAAATGAATTTCAAAAGGCCAATTGAAAGAGGAAGTATGCTGTTATTTTTTACATGGAAATGAAAAATGAAAAAGGAGTTACAATTAGTTACTTAGTTGAAAGTTCATCAACCATAGATAGAACTAATCCCTTCAAGAGAAGAATTCATTCAAATCCAATTATATTAGGGACAAGAAGGAAATTTGGTTGTAATCGTCGAGCACAACTTTTAGCCATTGCTCATGAGTTAAGGCATCATCAACAACTATCTCACAAGTCATCATCGAAACAAAAACACAAGGTAATCATATATAGTGAAATGTTCTTTTTTATTTTATAACAAAGAAATTCTACGTCCAATGCATAATGGATATGTACATCTACGTTCTCTACTTAAATATTTCAAACTTTTGATCATGGTTGGATTTAGAGGTGGATCGAGAAAAAAATTGCTTAAGAGTTCAAACTGTAAAGAATTAAACACATAAATAAATCACGGGATCCAATATATATATATAACAATAACAACTTATTCAGTATAATCTCAGAAGTAGGTCAGAGAAGCATAAGATATCTACACACTTTATCTCTATCTTTGTGAGGCAAAAAAGTTATTTCCGATAAACCTTCAGCTCATATAGTATATATACATAAGAAAGAAAGAAAAGACAAAAAAGTCTTCTTGGTCGAGCTCGTGGCACCGAGTTTGCCTAGTGTGGGTTACCTCTCCTGTGTGGTTTGCAATTTTGTTGCGGAGTGAAGTTTTACCTTGTGCGCACTCAAAGGATAGTGGCTACGGATTTCCTTAATTATAAAAAATAAAATAAAAATAAAAACTCTGCACATGTAATTTTCCAGTGAAAGGTCAATATTACTTGAATTTGAACTATTCCTTTTATATTGTTAATACATATTCATAATCATGTGTTGCGCTCTTATCGCTTAATCAAAAGCACTAGGATCAAGTGAAATGCTTTATTTATTTTGGTTGGTATATATTGTGTATTACTCTTGTTAATATGAGTTATTAAAATTTTGTACAGAAATGGAGATGGACAAAAAGGATTAGATTGTCATTTTCCCGTTTGTTTCGTAGAAATGATAAGCAATGGAGGTATGAGAACATTGGAACACAAGGCTGCAAAGGAGCAAGAAAGAGAACAACTAATTTTTGTGTAAGTCTTGCTATTATTATTTTCTATAGTAATAAAAATTATGTGTATTTTGGAAGGGGAAAAAATCATACTGTCAGTCGGTGCAAAGAATTTAAACTCCAACTAATTTGTGTTCTTTTTGTTGTGTTATGCAGAATAAATTGAAGGGCTTCTTCAAGGACATCTTAGGTGTCTGGCAATTTTATAAGCAATCGTAAATTTTAGAAATGACAAATTAGTTCATGAAAACATGATCCATTCATAACGGATTAATAATTTGCTCACTTTGAGACGTTCAAATTTTGTCCAATTCGCCTATTTTACATCACCAATCGTGATGATCTAGTATTCTTCCGTTTAATTGAATTTTAGAAAGTTTCTAATTGAAGTAAATTTGATTTTCCTGTGCAAGATATTTCAAATTCATTTTCAGCTATACACATAGTTTTTGACTTTTGTTGCTCGCACTCTTTAAAAGTTTCAACGGATGTACGTCGAGTTATCCAAAAGTAATTATTTTTTGAGAATCCGAAACCAGAAGATCATAGTTAAATGTTTGTGAACTATGGTCCACAAAATATGGTTAGTTTGGTTATCAGATTTGAGAAATGCTCCTAAATGAAGTAGTAGATATATATACTTTTGCTTACTGTTAAACAACTACTTTCATCATCAACAATCAATTTTAAAAGAGTTAATTACTCCAAAGATTTCTATATTACTATGAAAATCCAAAAATAAGGAAATCATCAATCAGATAACAGTATTTATTTTTTTTAATATAGCACCATGCGATAAAATATTTTTAATGTGCATGCGTGCTTAAAAGAACATCAATTTGAACCCTCTCTGGAAAAAATAATAATTCTTACATAGATAAAATTATAAACCGAATAAAAAGAGTCTAAAGGTAAAAATGCCTTTTCCTTGCTCCTTTTCATTGCCGAGATACTGATGTTCTGTTTTTGAATTGAAATATATGTACGGAAGCATAGGCGCCACTCTCTAGGTGAGGTGCACGTGCACCCGTTAACTTTGAAAAAGATCATGTATATATATATATATATATATATATTTATATGTATATCTATTTTGAGACACTGACAGAAATTAGGATATAACTAACAATGCATATATGAAAAGTATAGGAGTGTCATTGTGATGCTAGTAGGGGTGTACATGATCGGGTTGGTTCGGGTTTTTCAAATAACAAACCAAACCATTTGTGTAAAATTTTTAAATTTATAAACCAAACCAAACTAATAAAATTCGGATTTTTTCGGGTTTTTCAACTTCGGGTTGGTTCGGGTTTTTCAAATACCAAACCAAACCATTGTGTCGAATTTTTAAATTTATAAATCAAACCAAACTAATAAACCTCGAACTTTTTCAGATTTTTTTATTTTTTCGGTAAAGTTTGCATACAAACATATAATTAACTTGTGCTCCAAATATTTTTTTAGTCCAACCAAAATACAATTATCTAAGGTGTTTCTTAAACAAATAACACAAAATATGAGATAAGTACTGATGATACAAAAATATTTAATAAAAAATAATAATGAAATCATCATATAAAATAAATATTGCAAAGTCATAATGAAAATGATCATAATTTAAAAGTACTAAATCATGCTAAAATAAGTTTAATAAGTATTAGTTACATTACTAAATATTCAAGGAAAATTAAAATTAGATTATGTATTTTAATTGTCTAAACTAATGTAAAACTAAAGAACAAATATTCAATATTATTGTCAGTCTTAGTGTTGAATTGATTTTCTTTTTGCATTAGTATTAATTTGGTTTTGATTTAAGTTTTATTATAATTATCAACATCTATGAACTATAATATTTATTGGACCATTCCGAATTCTAAGTTTTAAACTTGAAATAATATATTAAAAGATAAAAACTATGAAATAGTATAAGAAATATTTTAAAATTATATCAAAGTAAATATCTTTATGTATAAAATAAAATTTTAAAATTACTATATAATGTCAGGTTGGTTTGGTCTCGGATTGTTTTTTTTTAGTTAAAATCAAACCAACCCAAATATAGTCGGATTTTTTTATCCAATACCAAACCAAGTCAAACCAAACCACTAGTCGGGTTTTTTTTCGGTTTGACTCGGTTTACGGTTTGGTTCGGTTTTGTACACCCCTAGATGCTAGTACAAGCTAGAGGATCCACCCGCAAGACCTGGGTTCAAATCCAGCTAGAGTGTTTATTTCATTATTTTTATTTTAAGTTTATCTTAGAGCTCACATTTGAGCTAAGGTAATATTAATGCACCCAAAGTCTATTCTGGGTTCACATATCACTTACGTTATGCGGTGCTTTTATTTGGAATTTTGGATGATATGTATTTTTGTATACCAGGGCAGTAACTTTTTTTCGATTTGGTATAACTCAACTATTATCACAGTCCATCAGTTAATCATCGACCTATTTTTCAGTTCATTCCTCTCTTTCATTTTCAATTTGTATGTATATATAATTGAATTCCATGTTCTATAACACATAACCTCCTTTTTTTGCAGTAACCATAAAAGAATAGTAAATTCATCAGTATGAGACTATAAGATTTGTTTGCATATAAATCATAGTTTTACCCCATGAATCCTAGAGCAAATAGCAACTATAGTACGTATATACATCATCTATATAGTTAAAAAGAAAGGATAAACGGTGCAATAAGATATTTGCATCTAATTCTTTTGTATGTGTATATCGTATCAATTGATCATCAAAAGCAACTACATTCCGATATTGTTATAGGTGTGTTCGTATGAAGGAAAACATTTTCTTGAAATAGATACTCTTATTTATTGATATTTGGTAACTAAGCAAAACATTATTTGTCCTAAAATATTTATATATAGATAAAAGAACACTATGGACAAGGGTGTGGTAGGCAGTGAGGTCGTCATGGGTGGCGGGAGGAAGACAAAGCTTAGAATATAAAGTAAACTTATAATGAACGTTTTTTTTCTCAAACCAATGACTCACATGTTCGGTAATGCTAACTATTATAAAAGAATGCCACCCCTCAAGACTATCAGTAGCTTCTATTGTTGAATCTCGTACAAGTTAAGTTGCATTGACTGCAAGTGAAACATGAACACTTTAAGTATACATTGATCATGCACTCTCACTTTGTGTATATTGTCGTATATATTATAGAAGTAGTGTGGTGATTGACCTCAATACTAATGGTGATCTCAAAGTTAAACAAATGAATGAAGCCATGATCGTATTGGAATAGATGCACAAAGCAGTCAATAGCAATTGATTCCCATCTATCAATAGATCGCAAGTTACTTTCATAACTCAAACCACTTGAAATTGAATTGCTGCTCTTTTTTTTCTTGTCATTGATAGAGTGGTATTCTCCACGTTAACCCTTGTGAAAAAGGGACAATCCTATCAAACATAAGAAGAAGAATCACGTACGCATTGCAAGCCGGTAAAAAACATAAGGACCGATACTCTCAAATAAGCTTATTACACGAACCATCCAACGCGCAAACCAAAGGCAATACAAGAAGTACTAGTTCATAGTTTATAAAATTAACCCCATGCACAAATGTTGCAACCTTCTTTTCCTCAAGGATATGAATATATCCAATGAGAGAAAAAATCTTTAATATTACCTGATTTATGAAACTATTGCCTAGTTCATGAAATTAAAGTACCTAGGAGTAAGGAGGAGGGTTGAATTTACTTTACTATGCAATCAGGTTCCTATTTACAGGCAACTACAGGAACTCCAAATTGCTGTAAGCAGTGCCCTCAATCCTCGCAGTAACCAGGGTTAGGATCTGCAACATGGATGTCTCACACATTTTTCTGGGTTACGACGAAGAAAATCATAGTCAAACAAACATGTCTCAGCATCCCAACCACTCTTGAAAACCTTTTTTCCTGATAAATCACCGAATTCTGCTACTTGCTCGATGTCGTTGCCGCCTCCTTGATCTTCCCAACAAGAGCCTACTGTGAAGTCGAGAGATTCTGTTGAAAACATTAGATGCAGCCTCAGTGCCAGAATGATGGACAAAAAAATCATCCTGATCAAATGAATGATAGCGATCATCGAAAAGATCATCTGGGTGGACATTATTATTCCACAGATCACTAAGAGGGTCTGACCTAAAAAGAGTCTCATCGAGATGGTTATCCAATCCAAAATTCCTGTGCAGCCCTCCAAAATTACCATCTATTACATAATCTCCCATTACAATTGCCCCAGGCATGGCAGACCTGATTGTGCTAAACACATCGTTCAACTCTCTCTCGTGCTCAAGCTTCTTCCATTTCTCTGCAAGTGAAGGGTCTACTTCTAGGGGGCGTGCTGAAGGATGCTCCCGCCTTACATGTTTCCTTAGCTTTTTGTACGTTCCAACAAACGAGCAATTTTCATGCATGCATGTTCTCTTCTTTGCATTTAGATGCTTGCGTGCAGGTTCCACAACCGTCCAACCCTTTACCTGCCCACGACAGAGTGGGCATATAAGTACAGTTGCCCCAGCTAAACAACCTGCTCCTGACGAGCAATAAGGATCATCAGTTGACAGCAACCCTGGTTCAGAGCCCTCAATTGAAGTGACTTTAGTATACGCTTTCTTGTACTGCTCAAGACAATTTGAGAAACGGCAGCTAGTAGCACACATATAAGGACGACATCCCTTGTCATAAGATGAGCACAGCAGCAGCACTGCATTGTGAGGGTGCTCCATACAAACTGAGCAAGTTGCCCCTTCCCATTCTTTCTTCTCTGATGATTTTGGCCGTTTCTCCTTTTGGTGAAGCTTTTTGCACATTTTTGAGCGGCAAGACGGCAAATCATGGTGATGGAAATCAGCTATCCGTCGCACCTTGCTTGGTTTTGTCATTTCTGGTAAAGAAGACAGTCCCCACCCGCAAAATAAAGGGAACAAAGAAACCAATGGGATAGGGTGGGGGAGGGGAAGAGGTTAGTAAACCAGATTTTTGCTAAACAAGCAAAACTTAAACTATTAAAACAATAACAGGAAAGAAGGAAAAGATATCATGCAAGGTTTCAAATGTTTCTCAAACTCTACATTTAGAACTTGAGCGCATTCAGATATGTTGCTAACACAGATGAATTTGCTGTCTTGATGGAAGAAAGCTAGAGGATAAAAGATGTCTTAAATCACCAAAACCTGTTTAGTGCACACAATGCTGATCC